GTTGGGGGGTCTGGGTGAGTGGGAGGGGGTTGAGGAGCAGGGGGGTGGGGTTGGTTTGGCAAGGGGGTAAAAGGGTGTGTTGCAGCAGCCAGTCCCCTAAGGGGAGGGGGGAGAGGGAGATGAGGAGGAGGAGGACGACGACGAAGAAGAAGAAGAAGAAGAAGAAGAACCAAACAAAGGACGAGGAGAAGCCCCTCCCGGAAACAACGACTTATGGTGGGAGATTTGAGTATCAAAGTCTGTCTCCCTCTTTCTCTCTCTCTCTCACACACACACACACACACACTCACACACACACTTGGACATGCTGATCTCCTTCGGAATCAGCGTCGCAGCCCTCGTCCTCAGATGGCTGTTCGATGCAGTCAGCTGATTCCGGGTCATCCTTCACCACCATCTTGCGCTTGGGCACTGTTTTATTTTTTTTGCCGGTGCTGTGGCTGCGTCGGTCTTGGGCTTTGGAGGTCTGCCACAAGGACATTTCGGCTGTGCAGGAGCATCCTGTGATGGCTCCTTTCTCTTCCTGCCCACTCGGCTCACCCACAGGTAGTCATGCTGGACAGCCTCCTTCATTGCGGGGAATTTTGGTATCTTCTAGGTGGACTCTGGAAACCCCGCTCGCCGAGCCCTGTGTGTGTAGACTGCTGTCGCTGTGGGACGGTGCTCGTCTTCGTGGGCCTTATCAACCTCGCCATGCTGCACCTCCTGCTGCGCCAATCCATCCCCCTCCTCTTCCTGCTGCATCTCCTCTCCCTCCCCGCCTCGCACCATGCCTTCCTCCTCTTCTTGGAGCTCCATCTCCGCTCCCTCCTCTGGTTGCACCATGCCCTCCGTCTCTTCTTCCTGCTCCATGTCGTGTCCCTCCTGTGGTTGGTGCTCCTCCTCCTTGTCTTCTCCATCTTCCACAACCTCCAATGCCCGATCGATTTGCTGTTGATGCTCCTTGGCTTGTTTGAGACCTCTCTCGATCTGTCTGCGGGTCGGGATAGGTGCACGGCAGGCCTCCTCCTCCATCATATGTTTCTTGACAAGGTCGGTCTCCCGGGCAGCCATAGCCTTGGCACGGTTCGCATCCTCCTCATCTTCGTCCACCCCGGTATGCAGCAACATGTCAACATCCTCCTCATCATCTTCGACCACCCCGGTTTGCAGCAACATCTTGACATCCGTATCTGGGCCGTATGAACTCGACATCAGATTGCGGATTGTACGGTGCTGTTTCCACTACCCCGGGCTCCTTCACTGCTGGGCGTGGCTCTTCTCTGCGCTGTCGTCCAGTCCGCCTCTTTCCAACATACGTCGTGCCCGGGACGGCTGGCTCCGGTCGCAACTCGAAATCGTCCCTCCCTTCTCTCTCACATGTGTGGTGTGCGATGGGCTGAGTCGAGTAAGTGTCTGACAGATCAGATCATATCTTTGAGTCTTCCGCTGCGCCACATTGTGCTATTTTTGTATGTGTGTGGATGTACATTACTGGTTGGTATTTCGCTAATGCTGCATTGTCCATTCCGGTCCTTATCATCACTTCGCTGATTCCTTGGCTTCATTTGCATCGCTCGGACTGTTCCGAGCATGCATCAGAGAGAGAGAGAGAGACAGACAGACACACACACACACACACACACACACACACACACACA